CACACACACACACACACACACACACACTCATACAGTCCCGTTTCTTCGCAGATAGAGCACGCGAAACGATGACGTCACCGAAGACGATCAGTAAGCCGGCCTCGCGTAAGAGTGAGGTGCTGTCGATGATCAAACAGACTCTGCTACCGGACGACAAGAATCCCATCGTCCAGTACTTCGACATCAGCCGCCAGGTGGCGAGCGCCGGACCCGAACTCGTGTGGAAGATATACGACGCTCATCGGAAAACCGACAAGCAGGTAAAAGAATCGCTACACAGCAGGCTATAATGGTTACCCTATATAGGTTACCCCCTACAATAGGTTATAAGGGTTGACATCACAAACATGCGAAAAACGCACAGCTTCTATAGACAATACATACAAGAAATGTGTTGTATTATTGGCTATAATCATGAAAATCTTTATGGAATTATATCTATAAATAACTGATATCTGATAGCTATAGATTCTGTAGATCTGTTAATTGTTATATATTACTGATTAATAGAGCGAGAGTAGCTCAGACCTCTCGTGGAAGCAGATCGGGACACAATCAGGGGCGAATAAATGACAATAACATATGACGGTGAATTAATAACTGACAAATTGACAATTGTCATTATTGTCAAATTGTCAAATTTGTCATTATTCCTCTTTGACACCATGTGCTCCGTGAACGCATGTAGGGAGCGAATGTCTCCACGTCCCTATATACGCAGGTAGGGGGGGGGGTGGAAGAGTGCCACCGCCAACAAGTAGGCCCTAAACAAGTGTAAGATAAACTCGTGTGCTTTTGTTTTTATATTCACTAGATAATATCAGGAGTTTCATATTATTATAGATATTATCAGACATAGTCTACATATTATTATACATATTATCAGACATAGTCGACATATTATTATAGATATTATCAGACATAGTCTACATATATTATTATACATATTCTCCTGATATTATTAGACATAATACATATTAGACATAATTATAGTCTATATTGTGACACTCCTGATACTAGCATATCATTGGCGAATCATTGCAATAGCTTTGTGTAATCTCATAAAACTTTACGCTATCATAATTCATTAATCACCACACGTAATGCGGAGACGCTCTGCAGTAGGCGGAATTCGTTAACGTTAACCGGGGCATTGAATTGAATTGAAGGATTGAATTGAAGGATTGAATTGATTATTTCCAGCCGCTAATAGTAATTATTCGATAGTTACGGCCACGTATACACGGCAACGAATTCCGTGCTTATGTAAATTTCTGTATGTATTAAACGTACGGTACGGCGATGCGCGTGTTTATTCGTACCCATGAGATTCCGGCTGCGTACGCACGCGGTATCGATTAATTAAAACAACCTCAGTTAATTTTGCACGAAACGCTCGTCGGTTGAATTCTCGGGATGTCACTGTGATGTGTACTTTATACCTGTGCGTGTGAGCTAGTGAAGAATCTCAGCTGTTACACAGTGACGTGCGTGTTTAAATATTCTCCCGTACAAAAGCCGGGTCGATTCGATTCTGACGACGTGGCTATGGCGAAATGCTCAAGCCCCTTGTCCGTGAATTACCATGCTACTATACCTACGCGCGTTGCCTATGAAATTGCATCGTCGACATCACAAGAGTTCCGAGTCCGTGTTGTGTAATACGACGTATACAGCTACTGAGGATAAAATATAGATATGCGAAATTTCGTACGGCGTTTGATACAAAATTATCGTCTCTGTCTCTGTCTCTCTTTCTGTCTCTGTCTCTGTCTCTGTCTCTGTCTCTGTCTCTGTCTCTGTCTCTGTCTCTGTCTC